GTGGAGCCATCATGTTCTTCCTTATTGGTCTTCCCTAGCCTAGCCTTCCAAGACCCTGAAAAGGAATCTGGTTTTAGTAGTCTAAAATCCAAAGTCAGTATAAATAAGTATAAACTTAACAGCACTTAACAACTGTTTAAAACAGTCCCCCTTTTCCGTCAATCCCGTCAAGGTTCTCTTTTTTCCTCAGGGGCAGGTCGGGTGGGCGCGAGCTGATCAGGGGGGCCTCCAGGAGGGCCTCAGAGATAGACTACCGCCGTTCCGCTGCACGTCCTTCCGCTCCCGAGCCCGCTCCGAGCCCGTGCCTTTGCGAGGCTGAACACCGAAGAGTGGGTCCGGGGACCTCGGAGAGGGTCGAGGAACACGTGCACACGAGGATGAGGAAGACTGGAGATGCAGGAGATATCTTCGATTCCGAGAACCCCTTTTTGAGGCGCCAAAGAGATAGAAACGGCAGACTTTTTGGGTTGGTAAAAGACCTAGACCTAGACCTAGGAACCGATAGAAATGCAACGAATCTTCGACTGGACCCTTCTGGCGCCGACATAAAAGTGTCTCCAATTCTTAAAGAAGGGTCAATGTGGAGGGAATTCACAAACCAGCTCTGGGCATGGGCATTTTTCCTGATGTCCTCAGTCGCAGCTTTGCTCTCTTAATGGCCATAGACTGCCTTCGCCCAGGTAGACGGCAGCTTCCGAGGGAACTTGGGTGAAGTCTTCATCCGCTGCAACAACGTGCCCCTGGGCGTTTTCCTTTTCCTGGCTTATCGCGGATGCCTGGAGTTGTAGGCAAAAAAGAGAGATGTAAACACATGGCAAAAAGCGGAGCAAAGATTATAGTATATCATAAAGCATTTAAAGGAGCTCGTAGTTTTATATAGATATTCTTATTTTTCCTTATTTATTTACGCTTAGGATGTTTTTTTTGCGGTTTTTGGGGGGAGAAGGAAAGGAAGGCAGGCAGGCAGGAAGGAAGGAAGGAAGGGAGAAAGGAAGGATGGAGGGAGGAAGGTTGGAAGGAAGCAAGCAAGGAAGGAAGGAAGCAGTGGCCAGCGTTGTGAGTTGCAGGCTTGCAAAGCTGTGCTGCAGGTGGCCTTGCAAAGCTTTGCTGCCTGCCCTGGCCGTGTTGTGAGCTTTGTTTATGAACCCAGAAAAGTATATGTTCATAATGCTTGTAGTTCTGTTCTTTTTTTTTCATTCATATGTTTACCAGGACCATCCAAGGGGTGTCCTGGCCGGACTACCCCACACTACCTATAGGCTTCCAGACAGGGCACCCCGACAGGATGGTCCAGGTATCATATGTTCTTGAAATATACAAAGCCGTAACTGTATGTATGAGCAAAGCTCCAAGATGGATGCGGGTGGCTCCCAAGTGGGGATGAAACCGTTTCCCATGGGGTCTGACAGACTGACCGGCCAAAAGACGTCGCAGGCCACAGGTGCTCGTTTTTTTACAGAGTTATTGGAAACGATCCAGTCAAAGGTCATGCCTTTACATCACGGTTGGCAGATGACAAAACTCCAATTCCATGAAATCCTCATCACATCTCCTTGCAGGTTCCAAGGACATGGTGGGTTGTTTCTGCTTCTCTATCTGCCCCACTAGGCCCCATTTGTAGAGATCATTCTCAAAGAAACTCGGTTACAGGCACCATATGGTGGTTGGGGCGCTCTTCGGATTACAATCTCCTCGTTACCGAACACTCACACCATGACAGGATTGGGGTGATTTCTGGCAGATCTTGCACTCGACTCAATGAATTGCTTGGAAAAGACTTGGCAGATCGCTGCGGCGTTTACATCCCTTCTTGGATTCTGGTGCGGAGGATGGGGGCGGATTTCGGGAAAAAACATGTTGATCGCCCCTTTGACGGGAGCTTTCAACTTAAACACCTGGTGAACCGAACTTGCAGAGACTGAACATCTCCGGAGCGGTTGTGGGGGGGGTTTGTGGGGCCAGAAACACTCAGCACGTCTCGAGCCTTCGGTCGAGGTACTATACATTCGCGGAATGGCCGATGAGGAGTCAGATATGGACTGAGTAGTTAGCGGAGGGCAGAGTTGGGTGCGTCGCGTGCAGATTACTGACTCTCAACACGGAGTTTTGTGTGACTGGATTTGGAAGACCCTTCAGCCTTCAATCAGTGGTCATTTTTTTGTAATTTTTCGTTTCTTTCTATCTGGCTTCGAGCCTGTATCTCTTTTCATGGGGACCAGTCGCACAGATGAGACGAGGCGTGTAGCTTGGGACAGCGTCTGAGAGTAGCGAGGGACCAGGCAGAGGACCCAGCAGAGGACACGGTCACTGTTTCAAAGCTGTTGCTAGTCTTCCTAAAGGGTCCATGTTAGACTTTCCACTGGCGTGAATCTGAGGGGGGAATTCCTCCGAGACCCCCGCGCCTTCCCCGCCGTCTGTAATGTACCTATAGCTCAGATAGCAAAGAGTATAATGCAGCAGAAAACGAGATAAATCATAGAATGACATGTTTGATGTGATTGGTCTTATGTTTCCCAATGTTGTTTTTGAGTCATCACCTGTCCAAAACCCTCTCCAAAATCCGACGGCTCGCTACCTGTCGCGCTGTCGGAAAGCGTTGATGTCAGTAAATGATGTCGAAGCACTTCTTGTTTCAATCTTTTTCAGACATGGTGGTTTTGCTTTCGAAGACGGAACACCATGACTAGTACCATTATTCTTATCTAGAAGCAACACACTAATGTACTACGTGTTTTTCATGTACTACGGTTCCTTGGTATCTTAATGCTTCCTTATATCTATAGGCCATGTAGGTTTTGTTGGTATCGAACTGGTGGTTGCTGCAGTTGCTCTCTTCCCACTGAAGGCCGAAGCTGCCCCTTATTAGCCTCAGAACCGAGCCTGACAGGGGCAATCAGCTGCACCCCGACGTAACAATTGCCATCTCGAGAACTTTGATTAGCCAGCCAGATGGTCTAAGTCCTTCACTTCCAGACTTCCCCTGTTCTCTCTTTGTGCCATCTCGAGATTTTTGTGTCAGTCCTTCACTTCCAGACTTCCCCCTGTGTTTTATTTCCAGGCATCGCATCGAAGCTCGGCTTGTTGCTCGTTCGTTTCGGGTCTCTCTGCCTGGGAACGGGTATGGCACGGCCGAACAAGCCGACGACGTCCCGTGCTGTGCGGGGCGCAAAAGGTCTGTGTGCGGAGTCGCCGCTGAAACGGGTCACTCCACGGCGGTTCGTCACACTCCACGACTCTTCTTGCGGGCTTAAGCAAGCTGGACTGTACAAAGGCGTTGGACTGGACATGGGACTTTTGCACACGGGACTCAGTATGTATATACGTAGTCCGTCTATTTGTTGAGAACCACGGTGGCTCAGTGAAAATGACACTCCCCGAGCTCCTGTTTGATCATGAGATATCATGAGGTTCATAGGACCATAGGATGTCATAGGTATGCATGCATTCCGAGATAGACGCCATAGATACCGGCGTGGGTGATGAGAGTTGGAAAGATTTGGAAGGACAAGGAAGTGGATAGCCAAGAAAGACCATGAAAGAGAAGCTTTCCCCTTCCCCTGGAACCTCAGCCTCAAGAGACTGGGAAAGACCCCTCAATGGACTTGGAACCACACCCACAACCACTTCTTCAAGGTTTGTAGAGGATGGACCAGGATGGATGATACAGATGGTTAAATGAAACCTATATAAAAGTATCTATACAATCATCTGCGACAATATCAGGCCTGAATAATTTGTTTCTTTGTGGGCAGGGATGATCGGATGACCCTTTGACCTTGGGCAGGTGAGGATGAAGGTCGAAGGTCGAAGCCAAGTCCTTCCGAAAAGACGATTCCGGTTAGGTCGGTCTGTTGGAAAGCTATTTCGACGTTCGTGGCTGGAAAGCTAGCTAGCGCTATGTTACCCACATGTTACCCACATGTTACCCACATGTTGTTACCATATGTTACCTATATACGGTTTTCTTTGCTGTTCTCCCAACGTTTTTTAGCGGGTTTGGAAGATCAAGCTATGTAAATACCCTGGGAGTGAAAGACTATAAAAAGAATGGTCTTTGGGACCTGAACGGGAACTTCCTTTACTTCAGCCGGTCAAAATATCGTCAAACTGGACTTCCAGGGCAAAACGTAGCAACCACGAAGTCCGGTAGACTTCGTCTCGTGCTCGTCGTAGACCGGTCGTGCGTGCGGTCGACCACTCCCATCGTCGGACGACGATGTCGTGGGACCCGAAGGAATCCGAAATCGTTGAGCGTTATCACGAAGCGTCCGGTATTCATGAATGGGTTTGCAGCTATGCTGGGTGTCAGGGATAGAGAAGTCCCTATAGGGTTCCAACTATGAAGGTGACAGAAGGTGGTATTCGACCCCCCCTAAACCTTTTGGCACCCACCCCAAGCACCTTCTCAGGAGGTGGTTGGAGCCCTAGGGAGTATAGATCATGTCTAGGTCATGCCTATAGCTTTTGCGGTCGCTCTGGCGCGGCAGTGGGTCGCGACTATAGTGGGGGGTCGTCTCCACGTTCGCTCCATGGGGCAGTTGGAACTGGGAGCGACGGAGTTCCGCCAGCGGAGCGATTGTCCACAAACAGAGCCCAATGGCAACCAGTTGGTCAATCCTTTCAATCTGGCATGGATGAACATGGATGAGGTGAACTCATGTGAACTCTTGCTTGGCTGAGCCGGCATCCCCAAAGGAAAGAGCATGTTCCGTTCCGTTGGTCCCATCGGTCAAACCACCCGCTCGACCGAACTGGTCGGCGCCGGCCGCCGTGTGGAGAAGCACCGGAGAAGCACAGAAAGCACCGGAGAGGGTCCGGTGGTCCCAGCGGTCCGTCCATGTCTTCCGGAAGGTTTTTCCTTGGCGTACCAAGAAATCGTTGACGAACAGGAAGGTCCAATGGAAATCGGTTTTGAAACTGTTTTGGGGTCTATAGTCTATGCTGGTATAGTTCCTTTTTTTTCCTATGGTTCTGGACGTTCCATCCATGGCCCCTCTTAGGTCAAGGCAACTCATTGCTCAAATCGCTGCGCAGGGGCTCTTAGTGGCGGCCAGACTTGGGCCGGAGACTTGTGGGTTGTCCAACAGACACCGTTCTTCTAAAGAACAGACAACACATGAGCAAACACTGATGTTCCGCCAGCGATTTGGTTTGTCCGCTCGCCATTCCGCTCTGTACATGCTTCGTGACGAATGCAAAGAGATCACACATCTTCCTGCAGGTGGATGTGAGCGACACTTTCGGGTGAACACGTCCAGCATCATGCTGGTACGGCACAATTCTTCGAAAAAAGATGGGAGAATCGACCGAAGGAACTAGAAAACCATGACTTGATGACCATTAAAAAGCTACGTATATGATGGTCAAAGGGGGTGTTGGTGTGAAACACCAGAGTTTCATGATGGTTCATGCCTTGCCAGGGTTAGTGAATCTTCTCCCGCCTTTTGTGCTGTTTTTGTTTGGCGAGCCCATTCTAGGTGAGGCCAATGCCAGCGATGCCAGCGATGCCAGCGACAGCTTCTCCTTGCTGGAGACGAAGGCGAGGAAAAGGAGGAAGGAAGGGGGAATGTGTCCTGGAATGAAGGTACCGGCGAAGAAAGACATCCCCAGAAATCCATGTTCTTCGAAGAATGGAATTGAGTCGTGCGCTGGTCTCCGCCCCTCCTCTCTGACATTCAGTTCATCAGCGCGGCCCAGCAAAAGCAGCCCGCCGGTCCAAGGAATCGGAAGTTCGACTGGTGAGGTGGTGAGTCCCTGGAACACCCACCTCTGCCAGCTCTGGCGTGGGCGTGGAGAGGGGTGAGGTGCAACGGCATGTTTCGGGGTGCAACTCTCCAAGCGGCCTTTCTCCCAAGCCAGGCATGTCTCACCATCTCACCCAACGGGAAGCAGAGTGGAGTGCAACTTCTATACAGAGTCTACACAAAACGAGACTGACCCACCACTTTTTGGGTGTGTCCTTTATGCCCGAGCCACAAAGCATACCAGTTCGTTGGCCACAGGGTTCTCAATGAATTGGTATTAAGGGAACATCTAGGGCCCCAAACTAGGAGTTTCCTGTAGATGTTTTCCCTATAAACTCAATTCTGGGAGCTTCTCACTCAGTCCGAGAACATGGGTACCTGACATCCAACAGTCACCGACCGATGGATAAGGATGTGGATCCGGTGGATGAGAGGCGCTGTGGGTTTTTGTGGGTTTTTGTAGGGATTTTGGTCCATCAACACATCAATTCCGCGACACTGTCATGAAAGATTTATGGGAGAATGTGGCAATCTTCGCACCCCTGGGGTATGGCTCAGGGGTAGCACGCACAGCATGGAAAGAACATGGAAGTTCTTTTTTGTTCACCATGGCCGTTGGTAGAGAAACGTCATGAAAGGACCATGGGCTTCCACTTCCATGACTGTTTCAAGAAGTGTTTCGATGGGGGTGACCCCACGATGCGAGGCATTCTCAAACCATTTGGGGCGCCTGTGACCCGTCGACGGGGGGACGCTGCCGACGGTGCCACGAGGTCTCCTCTAAAGGGTGGCGTTGGGCCCTAACAGGTAATTGGTGACGCAGTGAGGGTGCTGGTAGAAGGCATCATCTACTCAAAATCTGTTAGTCTTTAGTGAGTGTCATCCAGAAGTTCTTGTGATACAGATGCTGTTGACAGGGTCCTTTGTGGAAAAGGGTCATAAGAGTGTGATGACGCCCCTGTTCTGTAGTACGGTGGCCAATGTTGGAGAACCTTCTCTCCGAACACTGAATGTCATAGGGTCACTCTCACTCGAATGCTACAGGAATATGGATGGTCACGGATTTAAGCATTTTCGTGAGATCTTCATCGGGTGTCCTTTGTCCAAACAACTTCACACTGAGTGCTTCTTTTTTCAGACCGCAAGCTTCCAAGCTGAGGGAGTGTGTCATGGTGATAGGCCAGAGGCACCAGAGGAAGAGGAGGAAGAGGAGGGAGAGGATGAGGAAGAGGAGGCTCCTTGGCCGGCAAAACTTGGGGGTTAGTGCAAGAGCTAGGGTGAGTGAATGCGCCAAACCTTGGGGTGGTCTACGAGACAACTGGACGACATATATAATGGACCCAACACTCACGCAAGGCTCCCC